TAATTTGTGCGAAGAGTCCTCCGTAGATGCAGCTTTCGACATAGCAACCGAACGTGCACTAATAACGTCTATGGTGTTTGGCTGTTGTTACGATGACATCCACGAGTAAGTAACCTAAGTCATAGCTTGTTTCCAAACTGCATATCCTTTAATCTTGCTAAGCATTGGGTTTGATCCTGATATAGAGTTAAGAGTCAAAGTATGAGACCTGACCCAATAAGAAAGAAGACATACTTAAGTGAATGATAATGAAATACTTGTTCCGTCCGCTGTAGGAGAAATATCAAAGTCTGCATAGTGTGCCATGACGACGATGGAGAAGATTGGCTGGGATACGACAGTTGTGGCCAGTACTTCCACGCAAGTTGCATCAAAGTGGATTTGATTTCTCAGACTCTCTCCAGCTTTGTCTGCCCTTGTTAATTTCGCAACATCGTTGCGGATTAGTGACGTAAATTGATGGTGGAGACTATTCTTCCCAGTGTGGGGCTGGGTTAAGACTAAGCTAGGCTGTGTACAATTCATGAAATTCCCGTTATTTCACGAATTCTTTGACGCTAAAGTGTTGACAACGCTGCAAGGAGAATCTCCCTCAAAATTTACTCTCAAGAATCGAAGTTACAGTCCAAAATTCAAACGTTACTGTTAGGTTTATTGGCGCACTGATAACCTTGTAAATAGCTCAAACACACTGAAAACAGTTTCATTCGTTTCTGTATATCTTAATCCTTTGTTCAGTACGATTTTACTCCGAGTTTGAACTTTTCGTGGGGAACACGTACTACAGCTTACACGACGTATTTTAAATTTAACCGCTGTACTATAAACTTGTGTGTTCGACCCTCGACGAACGCCTTCTATATAGCGTCACCCGCGTACTAAGTGAGGGTTTAGCGGGACGCTTAGCGGTGGGTTCATCCTCAAAATGTCTGACTTATTGAACCGTTATCTCACACATCTACATTCTTTACCCTCATTGGATGCACCTCACTGTGGTTTAGACGCAAGCAATACCGTCGTGGATCTTGGCAGTTTTTGCTTGGAAAACGTATCCAGCAGCGAACAAGGTACATCTACATCTACTTTATTACTCTTCAACGCTATTACACATCAAGAAGAGATAAAAGAATAAAATATAAAAATATAAACATAGCTAATAAAAATAATAAATAAATAAAATATGTAATTAACAATATAGCTATGCTTAAAAAAAAATTAGAAAAATTTTGTACTGCAAAAAGCTAAATAATTAAGCGATCTAGTTCCAGGTGATAAACAGTTCCAGTCCCTTATAGTTCTCGGAAAGAAACTATACTTGTAGTAATCATGATTTACAGGTGGTGGAATAAATGAATTCGTCGAGTAATTTCTAGTTTTCCAAATAGACAATTGATAATAGGATGGGAGAGGCAAAGCAATACTATTGTTCACAGATTTATGGAAAATTTGTAAACGATGGGATTTTCTTCTCTCGCTTAGTAAATCCAAAGATAGGGATTTCTACAAATTGGACACGCTAGTGTTATAACTATAATCATGTTTAATAAATCTCACTGCGCGACTTTGGATAGCTTCTAGTTTCTCCACTTGATTCTGTCTATAAGGATCCCATACTGCAGACGCATACTCTAAATGTGGCCTGACAAGTGATACATAAGCTGCACGTTTAGTTTCTTCAGAGCAGGCATACAAGTTCCTTTTCACAAACGCAAGTGAAGAGTTCCCCTTTTTAGCAATCTTGTCCACATGAGTGTTCCACCGCAGATCACTAGACAGCAAAACACCTAAATAATGATGTTGGCGAACAGATACCAGGGTTTGGTTGTAAAGAGTGTAGCCTTTAACAAACGGGGATCTACTACAGAAAACAGACATTTTGTAGCATTTAGAATGATTGAACAGCATCTGCCACCTATTAGCCCATTGGCCTAGCTTGTCTAGGTCTCGCTGTAAAGCCAAGGTGTCATCATGATGAGTGATTTTGTGATACCGTGCCCTGAGGTACCCCTGAAGTCACATCAACAGATTTTGAACTCACGCTATCAATTATTACACTTTGAGATCTACTAGTGAGCCAAGATTTAATCCAAGTAAGGGTGCTTCCCTGAATGCCATAAAACTGCAATTTGCTGATGAGGCGTTGATGGGGAACTTTGTCAAAGGCTTTACTGAAATCCAGAATGATCATATCCATTTAATCTCCATGATCTAAATTCTTGGCCAGGTCTTCAACAGTCAGAATCAATTGAGATTC